ATCTAGCTTCGACATTTTTCATGGAAATTGCCGAACAATAGCGGAAGAGAAGAATGCAGAAAGCAATAAACTAAAGGAAAGGAGAGGGGAGAGAGATATGCAAACGTAAAAAGGCGGCGTACTCGGGGTGCAGCGAGTCTATTAGTGGCCGTCTGGGTTAAACTGTGTTTGGCTTGCGGGCTCGGCGCGGCCATCTGGGTGGATTATCAGCGACGTAGAAGTCGAACTGAACGTCCGACTAACTCTCTCATTGCTGAGAGACCGCAAGGGTGTGGTGGTCTACTAACCGCCCGATAAAGCCGTGGCTTTTCGGCATGGAAACGCTTCGAGAAAATAATTAACTCCGTCCATTCCGGCGGTTCCTTCGATTTACATGGCTTTACATTGTCGCAAACAGCGGCGTGAATCTTCATTCTGTCTAGAGGGACAGCCAGCATAGAGATATCCCGATTTGACATGGCAGTAGCAGCTCCTCTATCACGTCAAGCCATTCTGTCATGTCCCTGTGCGCTATTGTGTGTGTGAGACCGCGTGTTAGATTTACGATATTCGAGGGCAGGACATTATATGATTGTTTCGCGTAGAGAACGCAGGGCAAAATATACATATATGAGTTTGTTGACTTGTAAATTAAATTCCATGAGTTATACAAACGAACATAAGTTTAGTTATTAAATAAAAGAGAGGAACTGTTAGCAAATTTGATTTGATTACAATTCAAATATTTACTACATAAATTGTGATTTCTCTCTCGTTTTTCCTAATTACAAAAATTTCAATTTCATTATTTATAGGCGCATGTCTCAAATCGTCTTATTAATCGTCTCATCGTAAAGTCAAATCTGCTTGCGCTGTCTCTTAGTTCGATGAGGCTTGCATAGAGATTGACGATTTTGAATCGACATTTCAAGTCGAGTAGGCTTTTGAGCTCCGATTTGCCGGCAAATACATCCATCTACTTCACCTTTTCAAAGAAGGATTTAGCTTTCGTTCGATGTCTGAATATTTTTTATTTGTGAACAAAAGAGGAAATTATTGATCGATTTATCTGGCTTATTTATTTCTGATTCGCGATTTAGGAAAAATTTTGATTTTATTATGGAAATTTTTAAATAAATAATTAGTCCAGTGAATTTGCCTCTCGTTTTTTTGATTAGAAGCTCGAGAATGAATAAAAACTGATTATTTATTAAAACTATTATTAGTAAGAATTGAAAAATAAAAAATAAATGAAGTAAACAACTTTTAATTAAAATTATTTTTAATTTACTAGAGAAACTGCTTTCTTTTTAAAGAAATGGAAATAGATGCAAATCCATTATTTCAAGCGCAAGATTACAATTTACGATTTAATATCCATTTTCTGACCGCATTCGTACAGTTGATATTAGTTTCCATGCACATTGGATAGGTATAAATTAAAAATTCATAAAAATGCAGCAGAGAAAGAGAGAAAGAGAGAGAGAGAGAGGAAAATAGAGAAAGTAACAATTACTTGGCAAGGTTCTATCTATTAAAACAACGTGTTTAGCTTTCCGTATTACTGCTTGTTGCGCTCTTCGAGCGTGCGCGGGCGCTAAGGCTGTCATCGATGTCCTAGAAACAACTTCGGCAACACGGGAAACGGAATATTAGTGAACAATGGTGGCCAAAATGCTTCCTGCCGGTTATAACGTCGAGCTATACCTGCTTGCAACTTGAGTCAAGCGCAAACCTAGGATTGGATGGCAGACAATTTAAGCTCGGCTTACGATTTAAACAACGGTTGCTCTACAAGCGGGCCTCCATCCGCCTTACCGCCCCATTTAAACACTCTTACAACCACCCAAATGTGGTATGGATTAATTCATTCAACGTCCCTATCTGCATCCGGGAAGGGGCTTTCGGGCGCTTAAAGCGGGAAATAAATCTATCCCGCGCGGCGAGTCTCCGAGATCGCGAGCAGCAAAGAATCTAAATTGCGGTTGCCGTTGTAATCCATCGTTGTCACCCGCGCGAAATAAATGATATCCGTAATTGTACCCGCCCGTACATTTTATTAAGCTGGCCATTGTTCGTCGTCGAAAGTAAACTGTCTAGTGGTGCGTATTTCCGCGTCGTATATATTTCGCACTGAATACGGTCGTCCGGTGACTTTATGTAAATACGAACACGTCCTTCGCATTGGACAAATGAGAGAGTCAAGCCTGACAATCACATTTCACGTTAAAGTCCTCGATACAAATCAACCGACAAATGCAACGACGCTATACATGACTTCGAAAATTTTGCGATCTTTGAAAAATAAGGTGTATGCGTGTGTATTCGTATATATGTAAAATATAATATTTGACGTGAATTCTCGCGTGGAAAATTTTTACGCTGCCTCGGATTATTATTATGGCGATAATAATTTTTTAATTTGCAATGCACTTTTGGCGCGAGACTGCGAGAAAATAATGGTCGCTACGTTAACTTCGCGTCAAAAGTTCCGGCGAGCGTTTAACATACGTCCGACGCCATATTTATGGGCCATGAAATATTTCCGTGTTATAATTGCGCCTTAAAGCCTGAATTCATAATGCCCATTCTCAGGCGCTGTATTCCCGCCCCCTTTTGTGCCCAGCGGGCACTTAAAAAGAAAGATATGCAAAGGGCATTAAATAAATTTACACTCTCGGTGTTTCCTCGCTCGTCGCGTGAACGCGCACATGAACAGATTACTTTCCTTTTTTTTTTTCTTTCGTTCCTTTAAGTCGGATTTACGATATCGCGAAATTCGTTTATAATTTTTACGGTGGCCCTAATGAGGGTCTTTCGTGTCCGAGACTGTAGCCCGCTGATACATCCTGCTTTCTCGTGTTTTCCTTCAGAAATGACCTTTTTCTCGCGTTAAATTTTAACGCGATGTCGCTTAATGATACGTCGAGAGATTGACATTATACAAGTCATAAATGTTGTTAATTTGATTAATGGATTTCATTAATTTAATATATTCGCGCTAGTCATAGAAAAAAAATGTTGAAATCCAGAGAAGCAAAACCGCGAAGCGAATACGTTTTTGATGGGAAACAATTATTAGGATGTATCGAGAAGGGATTAGTTCGATCAAGAACTGCACGATCGTGTCGAAAAATTCGCACAGATAGGAACCGCGTGCCGCTTTTCTCGCGCCGGCTTATACCTAGTGGTTTTAATTTCCAGCCCTCAAGCTCTTTATATCCGCAAAAGGAATATAATTATCCACAAAAAGGAAGAAACCTGGCATTGAATATTTTAGTTCTCGTTCCTCGTAGCATTGTTTCGTAGACTTCCCTTCTTCCCATTCTCAGTCTCTCACTTCTTTTTGGCTTTGGGGTACTAAACCCCTCGTTTCGTAACAAAAATAAGAACGAATAAATGCGGAGGGAGGTGTGCGAGAATGGAAAAGATTCTACTCTATTTTTATCGTTCCAAGGTCTTACGGTTTTGGGATTAGCTAGGAAAGTTACGTCAGACATTTTGTGGTCAGCTTTGCATAAGTCTCAAGTCTCTCTCTCTCTCTCTCTTTCTCTGTATATGTATCCATCTATTTCTCTTCTCCTCGCTTCCTTTCATTCCCGTTGTTTCGTATTCCGTCTCTTTATTTCGCGAGTTTCGAACATACGTATGTCCAATAAAAATAAAACCTGCATTAGGATTGCGCATTAACTTCTGTACCCCTCTAATCCTACAAGCTATTTTATTTTCGAGTTAAAGTATATTACTAAGTTGTTGATTCGCGGTTTATCAGCGATGTTAAAAATTTTGAGCTTAAAAGTAATTTATGCGTAAACAGGATTAAAGTATTTTCCCGAATAATATTAAACTGTATATATATATATAAATTAATAAAATTAATTAAAAAAATTAATATAAATTCCTGCAAAAGCATTTTAAAATCAGAAACAACTCTATGCTCTATTTTATAAAAGTCAATGAACCAGTTTATCATTATAATTAATATTAAGAACGATCGAGATATGATATTTAATGTGTGATTCAAAGTGTAATGTGGGTTTCTTCATGTTGTAAAAGTCAGCAGATTTATTTTATCGTCATAGTTAATATAACCGAGGGGACGGCCAACGAAAATGAATTGCATCGATATGCAAATGCTCGCCGAATGCATAATCAATGTAATATATCCCAAAAGTATTTTTTCTACTATAATATCGTTACAAATGAATACGTATACTGATTACATTTTCCTTCCGGTAATTTAATTTAGAAAATAAGCTTGTAAGAACCTCATAAAAATGTTATATTTGAGTACGCATCGAAGTGGCGAAATTAACGAAATGAAGTTATCACTTCGCAAAGGGGAAAAACTTCGTAAAGTGATCTTCGGTGAGTGTATCTTTACAATCTGTACACGTCCGATATAAAGTATCTCACGTTGTTGAAGGGAAAAAACCGGAAGATCTGTCTTTCGTGACGCATTTCGCCTCTCCGAACAATTCCGCGCAGCCGGTGTTCAAGAATGAGGTATAAACCGTTGATAAATGATCACGGCAGAAAGAACAGCCTCGTAATTGTAGTCTTATTAATGGCTCGCAACTGCACACTGTAACGACCTGTAGCTATAACACGCATCTCGTTTGTATCTCGCAACCGTAATCTGCCAATTTACGGCGTGAAATCGCTAGTAGCACGAGAACGTGCACGAAGGTACACAATGGTATTCAAAGTATAAACGTGATAAACATAGTATTCATAGAATAAATCTTCAATTATTTGGAAAAAATATAAATTTTCTCTCGTTGGAATAAATCTGAAAATTTATATTCACTTGCTACAATTTTCTATATATATTTACAAACCGTTTGAATAACTTTTTTCAAAGTTTCGCGGAGAAAATGATTTTATCTCGTAAATATAAATTAATTTTAACTCCAGTTATTAATCTTATTTAGAAAAAAATTAGAAACATTAAAGTGAAAGAATTTTTATCGCAGTGATATAATTAAATTCCATTCGATAAAATTAAATTATATTTCTAGAATGTCACGGGGCCAAGGGGGATGGTCCGACGAGCCTTGCACTTCCGGTAGTGCGAGTCGCCGCAGTGGAGCGCGGCAAATGGCAGGATCATCCTCGAGAACGTCAACTTCCTTGGAGGAGCGCGTTTCCGCTACGCCGTGTAAAAGCGGCTTCAGATTAGGTGTCTACGGCTGGAGAAAAAGATGTCTTTATTCTCTCGTGTTGATACTCATGGTCATCGTTATTCTCAACCTCGCTCTTACCGTCTGGCTTTTAAAAGTCATGGGATTCAGTTCCGTAAGTTTATAAATTAATGAGATATTATTATTTCAACGTGTCACATTTATATACACACAATCACCATTACCATAAAATTAAAAATAAAATTTATCAATATTGTTTCTTCTCAAACTACTTTAATAAAAATTTAAGGTGATAGATAAAAATATCAATGACTCATAAAGTTGATCAAATGTTTAAAAAAATCTTTTAAAAAATATTATTTAGAAAAATATCTTATTTTAAAGGAAATATATTGTTTTATATTTTATATATTTTACTGATAAAAAGTAATAAACTTTTTTCACATTCTTTCTTTTTTAATATAACTTTTTAGCTATATTAAAAATTCATACAAAATTTCTAAAAAATTTAATCAATTCTGTGAGCAACTGCATGTATAATAACTAATTTTTGTGTGTCGATTAATTCGAGAATTTTATCGAGAAATTCGAGAATATTTTGTAACAAATCAATATAAAATAATATATCACGGTGTGTAAAAACGCTCTTCGGGTAGGTCCGGAACGATCCTTTCCTGGTTAGGATTTCCTCCTGTAAGTTCGACCTGGATAGGGACGTATGTAACTTTTCGACAGTCATTAAAGTCGACTTCTCTACCTTGCAGCTTGGAATTAGTTTCGCGCGAGTTCTTGAGCCCGAATAACAAGCCTCGACGAGGGTGTCGGATCGTGCGAACGTAGGGCGCATCACCGACGATTTTGGGGATGGCAGAGGGAAAGGCTTGAAGCGCGAAAGTGGTTAATATAATTCGCCGTAATTGCCGGAACCGTTATATTGGCGCCGCGTTGTTTCCGTTGCCGAAAATTGTCGTTTGCACTTCATACTTCTTCTCTTTCAGACTTAATTCGGTCGCGTTACAATTACACGTTCTTGGAATCGACCAAAGGAAAAGAGGGAGTGGGATTCATTAGTAAGTAAGTCGGTAATGTTCGAGCGTTCTCCTTTCGTTCTTCGCAATCTTGGAGAAACGCGGCCCATACTAACTTCTTGATTGCGATAATGGCTGTAATATGAAGGTCGTTTCGATGTAAATGTCGCGACCAACTTGCCTATGACTTTCTTAACTTATTGGGACGAATTTGGCGATTTTGGATCCAACAAGAAATTACCTGTCATATTAAATATATATCATAACGTTAATTTTGATATTATTAACTTTAATTTTTCCCTTTGTGTGCGCTGCCAATTTTAATTTAAAAAAATGATATTTTTAAATAAATTTTGACAATAATAGAAGGAAATTTTTGAATATCTCATTATGATAAAATTTACAGAATTAAGCGAAGAATGTGTGCATCCTATTAAGTAAATTTCTCAAATACTCTTATAATAATTTTATTAATTACAATGCTATAATGTATGCCAAAATGAATCATTAAATAAAATCATTAGAACAATTTTTTTTTCGATAGGACACTTTGAAAAGCGAAAAAGCAGCTGTACAATGCACTTTGCAATCACCTGCAGCACACGCAGCACGATTCGATTCATAGGAACACGATTCGCAGGAACAGAGACCCGCATAAATTCTTTCAATCCATTTTATCGCCTGGTCGCATAAACGTACCAACACTTTCGCTTCTGCAAATCGCAGCATTCCCACATATGTGAGAGAGGTGCAACAATGCTATGGATTGGTCGACTAAGCTAGTGTCTAGTTCGCCCGATTAAGACAGAAACGATCGTGGTATTATCCACCTCGCGGCCTCGCCAAGCTGCTACTGCTACTGCTACTGCAACTCCCTATTCGCTATTATCGAATTTATTCGAAATCGAAAGGAGCTTTCGCGATCTGGCGCAATGATCCCTCGATGGGGGCTAAACTCGGTGGAAATTGAGTATCAATCCGTAAGTAAGGAGTCTGGGAAAAGCAGGGGTACCCCGTGGGAAATGTAAGTCTCTGCCACTTCTTTTCCACTCCTCTTCATCCTTTCTACTCTCTTCCTTTCTCTCTCCTTTTTATTCTCTTTCTCCTTCTTCGATATTTTCCCGTTTTACACCACTTCCATTCCCCGTCAATTTCTTGCCACCCTCTCTTGCCTCCTCATCTCTTATCCCATCTTCCAGTGATTCTCTCATTTGATCTGCCATTCGGTTTTTCTCTCGCTTTTCTCTTCCTCTTTCTTTAGCTCTCTTTTTTCTCCAGTTCTTTTCTTTCTCGAAACATCCTTCAACGCAGTTAATACTGCTCAGTTTGCCAATTCACACCGAAAACTTTTCCAACTAACGTATCGTCTTCTCTCTTTCCTCTCCTTCGTTCGTCGTAAGTCGTAATTAGAGGAGCGATAATTAAACTCTCGTTTATCGGCCGGTATTCGCGCCGATAACTCATGTCCGATTAATTGTGCGACTCGGTAAATCAGCGAGACAATCAATTACGAGTTCGGGCGCGTTAATTATTGCGCGCGGTCGGGTTGCGGACTGCCCGGTCGACGATTTACGACGATTTCGATTCACGGTGACGAATTCGACGTATACCGGAATATCTCGGAAAAGTCAAATGTAAAAGTCCTCCATTGGCACGAATCAAGCGGCCACGGAAAGAGATATGGTTTATGCGCGGCAGTTTCGTTTATAGGGAGTAAAAACGTGATTTTGTAAATTTTACGCGTGAAAAATAAATGACATCTAACGTATAAACGGATTGATCAGAAAATTTCATAAAACTGAATATAACTCCTTTCTATTTTTATCGATATAATTTAAGATAAGTTTATCTTGAAGTAAATATTTTTATTAAGATAAACTTATCTTGAAGCAAACATATTTTGCAGAAAATAGAACAGGAAATACCAATAATATGTTCTAAATAATATCTTAATGTATATGATTGTAAAAATTTTTTAATAATTTGAAGTATTTTTTAAATAGATGATTGATTATATAGAATACTAATACATATAGATTATTAGAAATCTAAAAAAATAAAGTAACGCAATATATATTGATATCTCATGCTTTTTATAACACATAAACTGAAATGGCAAAAATCGGAACAATATTTGAAATTAAGTATTGTTGTATTTTTTAACATCATTTTCTAAACGGACTCGCAAACTTAGAGACAATAAGATGTTCCATAAAACAATCGAGGATAATATAAATTATGCGATGATTTTAGCGTTTTATATACAATGTCTCTAATTATCATTTCATATATATTAGAGCGATGTGAAAAAGTAATGTGTTGTAAAAATATTTTAATGGCAATGTATTTTAATTATACATTATTTAATTATACAATTAATCAAAACTAAAAAATTAAAATATTTATTTTAGCAAATTAAATAAGCAACTAAATATTATTTTTATTTAGCTTCTCCTTTTCGAAACTCTCTTATATTTTACGCGCCATAAATGTGACTCGGTAATACGTATTAGTTATGCGTATAAAATCTGGCATTGCCAGTTACACCGTCGAAATCAAAAGTCTCGTAGAGCCGGAAACTGCGAAACTCTCTTCGAGACTTGGTTGATATCCATCTAGAAGTTTTCCTATACGAGGCATTCCTCCTAGGCGAGTGAAAGCGCGATACACTTGCGAACCGGGAAATATTTCATGCCCACCGTACTTCTCCCGCGCCTTTATCCACCCATCCTTCCCGACTATTCATATTTGATGAGAGCCTCGGTCTGCTTCCCACTGCCTCTTTTCACGACAAGTTATTCCGTCTCGGCCAACTCCGGCCGATGTCCTTTCCTCATTCGCAAATGAGAGAGATACCGCGAAGAAATTAAATCATTTTTCTCAATTAAGAAAACCGCCTCGCCCTCGTAACTGCAAAACTTTCGCCTCGGCGGAATTAATTAAGAGCCCTCGATCGGTACGCTTTATTATTAATGAAGTACGGTTTTGTCGCACTTGATGCTACCAGTTGTTAATAATTGCATGTATATGATGAATTTCTCACCACGATAAATTTATTCGTGCGAAATAGAGACACAAGCTTTACTTCGATTAACTTTTGTGAAAGTATAACCGACGTTCTTTTTTTTATATAAGTAAAAATTAAACGTTTAAATATATCTTTCCACAATTCTTTAAATATTTTAATATAGCTAAATTTTTTATAAATAATTTCAAAAATTTTATTTATCACTTATACTTTTCACTACTCAAGAGATTTTGCTTCTTCAATTTTTTTTTTAATACTCTTTTTCATTAGGTCATTCTATTCCATTTGCAATTTTCAATTGTGTGTTGTTTGAAAAGGATTTTATCGATTACGCTTACATTTTCATGGCGGTACAAAAAGATTTTCTTTACGAAGTACACGTTGTCGTTCGTGAGTATCAATATTTCAGGTTCTTTTTGGGATTCCCATCAAGTGAAGAGGTCTTAGGAGAGATCTTCGATTACGGACAATATATAATACAGCCTGAAACGTTATGTCGAACGGAATGGTATACGGACACTATATTGACACTAACGGCTTACATACATGGCCATAGTGAACAGATGCCCCTTCCACCTAATATCGCTTGCGGGACCTTATCCTCTATAACCCTTGTATCCATAGAGAATTCACCTGTATACATTCCTACATCCCCTACGAAGATACATATTGCACGCGCGCCCTCCGCACCCATACAAGGTGGCTCCTTTCGTAGCGTCCCTTTCGCGGAGAATCAATTGAAATTCATGTCTCCAAATGAACACTTCTCTACTCAAATCGTATATATACATTTGCGCATATTTTCGTTAGATCATCGTGTGTGAAATAGACACTTTTTAAATATTCACTTTGTTATTTTTTTCAATAACTTTTGTAAATAGACATGACATGAAAAATATTTTTTACTACAATAATTTATGAAATGTTCCATATTTGCAATATGGAACAGGATAGATTTCAATATGGATAGAAATATAATATCCGTTTTTTGCCAAAATTAAAGTTATAATTTTAAGAAAAATGATATTAAAACATAATTAAAATTGTAAAATTAGGAAATTGATATTGAAATAACTACAACTATTAATATATATTTCT